TTTTGAGGCAGATTGCTGAAAAAGGAGAAACATTAGGACCCAGTGGACTTCTAAATAACCTGTTCCTGCAACACACTACAGAAAAATAATTTATCAAATTGGGAGAAGGCAACCCCATCTTTGCTTTTATATTTTATATATTATTATATCTATTTTATCCTTAATCCAGTACATCAATTTTATATTCATTTACTTTTAACATAATCACTTTTTTCTAAAAATACAACAAAAATTTCCCTCTTCCCATATTTCATTTTTTATTTGTAAACGCCAATAAATCCTCATCATTAAGTCCTGGTCATCAAAAGTCCACTAAGTGTTACAAAAAATCATAACATACATGTTTTAACCATGATCAAATAACCAAACTTTATATTATTTTGCTTTTAACAATCTTGATTTTATTAAATTAAAATTAATTAATTTTAAATAATGTCCAAGCTGTTGATTCTTTTTCTTTATCACTTTGTCTATTCTCAAAACTCCTTCAAAACATTAATAACTCTCACTTGTAAATCCAAAACAAGTAGGTTATCCAAGTCTGCCTGATTACTTGTATGTCCCTTTTAATTATTAAGACATAAGCTGGTAGTATTTATAAATCCAGTATAATTGTTATGAGCCACAATTCAGAGTGTAACACTGACCTTCAATCTGATGTTGCTTCAGCTGAATCTGTGCTTCAGAATTGTCAACCTCAGGAATCAGTAAGTTGGGACTGAATTGAGGTTGATCTCCTGTTCACTGGAGCAGTGAGGTGACAAGGCACAACTTCCAAGGCCCAGGTCTAGGCATGTAGAGAAGCAAGCAGAGCAATGTTCCTCAGTGATGTTTCTTCTGAAACAATGGGCAATGCATGAGTAACTGTAGCCAGCTGATTGCAGACAGATTTAGTTAGGTCCTATGCTTGTATTCCTTGTTGGAAACAACTGTTTAGCTAACTAGATCTTGAACTGTGTTCCTACTTATTGTTTGTGATTCTTGACCCTTGGACTTGTTGACTACCTATTTTTGCAATCTGTAATTTTTGGAAACATCTCTGGGCTATGCTATTGCTTCTTGGATTGTATTTGACTCACTTCAGGTGAGCATTCTTTACTAGGCATTTGAATTACATTATTATCTGTTGTTATCTGCCTAAGCAGCAGTAAATATTCCTGCTTCTAAAATACAGTACTTTGTGCAACAACCTTAGAATAGAACAGTAACATCTTGTTCCATATCATTCTTGTAGCTTGTTTTTATACCTGCGTTCAAATCATTCTTAGGCTAAATTTTGTCCGGTGAAATCTGTTCCTCTTCTCTTTAAGTCCCATTTTTATTGCAGAAGACAATTTTCACAAACTTCTGCATGGAAGTTCCAAAATATCCTTGAAGTTTTTCACAAGATTATTTTGTTCCACTCTTATTAGTTGGTCTCTTCTTCTTTAATTATAATTTTATTCTTTCTGGTTCCTTCTAGAGTTCAACCTTCAAAATTGCCTCTTATGTTTTTCTCTAATCAACATTTTCCCATGCGTTTTGTTATAATTTCAATTTTTTCAATATTTTATATAAAATTCAAAATAATCCATGAAAAATTCTTGTAATTAATTTCAAAATATTAATTCAACTTTGGCTGATCCTTTATCAATTTATAATTCTCCAAAATCAATATTCTAATCACCCTTTTGCTGTTTATTCCAAAATAATCCTTTCAGTACCTAGAAACTTTTTTCAGAAAGAATGGAAGGAGACACACCAAGTGTGATAAGCCTTGCCTTTCCGAAGGATCTTAATATCCTAAAAGCAATTTAAAAACCAACTTCCAAAAATGATTAAGAGAGGAAATATGTGATCCTAGTGCTTGTTTGAAGGCTCTGAACTGTGGTTGGGCAAGATTTTGGTCCTTCTACTCCTACAGCTCTAAGCATTCTAGAGACTGCTATTTTATGGAAGAGCAACTGAGATGATTAAAGACCTGGGGACTAAAACATAAGAAGAATGGTTGCAGGATTTGGGTATGGCTAGTCTAGAGAAAAGAAGGACTGGGGGGAGGGGACATTATAGCAGTATTTGAGAGGTTGCCACAAAGAGGTGGGGGTCAACTTATTTTCCAAAACATTAGAGGGCAGGACAAGAAAAAATGGATAGAAACTAATCAAGGAGAGAATTAAGGAGAAAATTCTTAACAATGAAGACAATTAACCACTAGAGAAGCTTGCCTTCAGATATTGTGGGTGCTTCATCACTGGATGTTTTTAAGAAGAGACTGAACAGCCACTTGTCTGAAATGGTATAGGGTCTCCTGCTTGAGCAGGGGCTTGGACTAGAAGACCTCCAAGGTCCCTTCCAGCTCTATTCTGATTCATTGGTCTTCTTGCAGCCTACACTGCAATTCTGCATAGGGGCCTAATAGCTGGTCAAATGAACAAAGTTACTTGGAAGTTATTACATCTACGAAATGGTTAGCAGACCTTTATGAGCATTCCAAGAATGCAGAGTTGCTACAGCCAACAACATGTAATCTTTCTCTTCTGCAAACTGGTAAAGACTGAAGACCATAGAAGCAACTCAGTAAAAGGGTGCAATTATAAGGCTACCTCAAATTTTATCAATACCTACTGAAAAAAAGGCTGGATGGTATTATATAGGTGCAGGTGTAGGATAATAACACATTAAGCCCTGAGTAAAAGAAACAGAACTTCCAGTCCTTAAAATTTAATGGTTAAGGAAATAACAATGGTAGTACTGCCTTTATGCTGCCCTATTGCTGCAGTTAAAAATAAAAATAAAAAAAAGGAAAATTGTTAAAGTATTATCACTTTTTACTATGAAATTGTCACTGGGTATATTGATATAATTAGGCATAGATAGTTGTATATATTTAACAAATCAGAAATACATATTTTATATAATAAACCAACGTTTTGTAACTATCAAAGGAAAGCATTCAAACCCCTGATCTGTGGCATATATCATAACTTAATTGGAACCTTCTCACCATCCACTTTCCTTTTTTTTTTTTTTTCTTAGCTCTCTTTTTTTATGACAGTACCATCTCTAACCTAATACTGTGTTTGGTGCTGGATCTTTTAGTCAAGCCTCACCATATACATTACTTTATATCCTGCTTCATAGGGCTGATTGGATAGCATTACTTCTAGCAGTTTCTCAGAGTTAACTCTTCATGAGTGCAGTGACCTCTTAACCTCTCATAATGAAGGAAATGGAAAGAAGAAAGAGGGATTAGCCTTTTCTCTACATTTTTCTTTATCTTGATAGATTTGAAGAGTTTCAGTCCTCTCTGGGGTCTTTCTGCAATGAAATGATTTTGGTGATGAGCCAGGTGTCCAATGCATGCCAGCTGCAGAGCTCATAACTCAGCTTGTGACATGTGATGGCTTCTAATCAAGGAGGCAGTGGGGGAGAAAGACAGCACCTGAGTAATTCAGGTGTGAATCTAATGCATTCAATGTGGAGGGAAGAAATCCGGGCTTCAAGACCCTTCACCTTTATGAGAAAGAGTTTAATTAACCATAGATTTGCTTTTAATTAAAAAGTAGCTAGTGTACTGCTTTCCTTTTTTTTAAAAAAAAAGTATGACTAGTGGATCAAATGCTTAGGAATGATGATTGGCCATTTGAAGGCAAGAACCAATTGCATCTATTCAATTTCATGACTAAGAACTTGTTTTCAAGCAATTAACACACAAAATTTGCAGAATGCGATAATGATCCAGCTTCAACACGGATAATCTTTCAAAATGTGATTATCTCTCTGGAAAATCTGTTCCCAGCTAAGGGTGCCAACGTCTTTAGAGAATAACTGCCTTAGAGCCTGAAAGCCTTAAAATCACTTGCTTCCTTTCCATCTATTTTCTCTGTTGAAAATAGCTATAACTCATGTACCAGATCTGGATTCATGTTCATAAAGAGAAGTTTATGTATTAAACAATTGAATTTCTCTTCACTAGAGGAAGGTAACATTTTTGCATGTGGGCCCATGTGTGTTTATTTTGGTGAAGGCAGAATGTTTATACAAAATTTCTTCTTTTCTTTTGAAGAGAAAAGGGAAGGATAACAGAGGTAGGATTGAAGAGATCTATCTTATAGTGTTTGTTTTATAGTTTGTGTTAGTTATAAAGTTGCTGTTGTTTCATCAGCATGATGTTTGGAAGAATTGCAAAAAGTGGGATAGGTTGCCCACTCCTGCCCTAAAATTCAACAAAGTTTTGAACCAGAATCTATTTAAACTTGGAGAGTGCCACTGTATTTCCATAGAATTAGAAAAACAAGCAAGCCATCAACCTGATGGTAGCTAGGGTCTTTAATAAAGTCAGCATATTCTAGCAGAAAGATCTACCCAGCTATGAAGCTTAAATATCCATGTATGTCTGAGATATGGTATGTACAATATAAAAATAGTTATTACTTAACTTTGATGTCTTGAAAACTGTTCCCTTAATTAGCTTAACTCTGATTAAAGCTCTATAGGAACAACTGGAGCAAATAAAAATAAAGATACAATCTGACTCTATAGCGACCTTTGCTGGTCACTGCTTTCTTTCTTTCAGGTTTTTTTCTTTTTTTTACAGCTGAGCCATTACTGCTTTATTTGATAGCACTTTCCCTTGTTAGAAACTAAGGCCAGATGTGACTAATCCATTTAACTTTATGAAAGTATCTAAAATAACATGTGATTAGTAATGATTATATAAAACTAAGAAAGCAAGTAAACAGTGAAATAAGTGTAAATAAGACATTGCTGAGAAGCTTGTATTATGGCTCAGTACACCCTGCAATCTCTCCTGCCTACTACTCACAAAAATAAGATTAATGCTTAAAAGAAATGCAGTGTATATCATAAAGTGCTGGTAGAGTATCAATTGTTCCATAAATGTTATCATTTTTCTAGTGTTATGGGATAAAAGTTACCAGTGGAAGGAGAATATTAGATTATAGAAATAACTTTGGATATACCTGCTATATATTTATACTGTCCTATACACTTGCTTTCAGATGTTCACGGAGGGACAAATGCGAGCGAGCCAATGAACCTTTCCGATTTGCAGCCAGCATCAACCAGTGTATGACTATCATTGTTCAACCTAGCAGCATCCCAGTTTCTGAGCATAGCCTTCCGGTAGGTAGCCAAGGCAGGTAATTGCTTGCTTCTTATGATCACTGTCTCTGTTACCAAGAGGATGTGATCTCCTCTAGTCTTGAATATTACCACTAAAAGAATTTTATCTAACATTTCCTGCCTCAGATTTGTATAATTATATGGGTACTTAGTGCCTGCCATTTGCATGCTTCACAGCAAGCTTTTGACAAGCAAAGTCAATGGAGAAGCCATGTGATGTATTATTTAATGACTGGGTGAGTTACTGCAGCAGAACTGACATTGTAAGTCTAGTGGTCATGTGCTGTTTTGCTTAGCAACAGAGTTTGTGCTCATTAAATGAGGACTACCTATAATGCAGATTAAAACAATCTAATTCCATGTCTCAAATTCCTGAAAATAATTTTTTTCACATAATTGTGAATTTTGGCTTTTAGTTTTTAAGAAATCTAATTTTGTTTTGTGTTTTGATGTATTTCTCTTTGAGTGTAACTTGTTGAAAAAGCCTACTTTCTTTGGTATGCATATATTTTGGAAGTGTTATCTTTTAACGCAATACAAATATTCTAGTTTTCCCATTTGTACATTTTTAAATGAGACCTGGTTTGAAGAATTCTAAAAAGAGCAAAAGTAAATAGAATATAGTACATTCTGGTTTTCATTGATGTTTGAGAGTGTAAAAAAGCAAATAACTATTGAAACAAGCTATTTTCTCTTCCATTTGATGATTACATAGGCAAGACTGGTTTCATAGCCATTTCATAGAAAAACAGTTTGAATTATTACATGTTAACTTTCAGCTGTAAGTACAATGCTTGGAGGTGTCCATTAATAAGCTAATGCTGATTAGCTATTTGCATACCATTGTGAATGGGTTTGGGGGCAATTATTTTGGGGTATAAATACCTAAATCATGCCAAGTTCTGTATAACATATTCTGTATATGCTAATGAGGTAAATGGGCACAAATTATGGGAAAATGTTACATATGTAATTATGGACAAATTACATAAATTCAGATTTAATGGCCAATCCTTTTCCCTAATGGTCTGGTATATCAAGACTTTACTGTATACCAGTGCTTCTCAATTATTTTCCGTCATGCCCCCCTAGGAAGAAGAAAACATTTCGCGCCCCCCGCGCGACTGTCTATCCAATCGGGTCCTTTGCGTGTGTCACGTGCATCCAATATGACAGTATTTGCCGAGGTCAAACGAGCCCCCCTTTACGGAGCCTCAAGCCCCCCCTGGGGGGCCCGCCCCACTATTTGAGAAGCATTGCTATATACTGATTGGAGATATTGGTGAGGATAGGCCCCAAGGAAATATTTTACTGATCTACCTCCATTTTGTTTTTTAATTTCAACCAATAGTTGACCTGCAAAAGTTTCCAAATTAAAAGTGAAGAAGTTATCTTATGAAGCCTTGGTCTTCTATGCTATAATAGAAATGCAACCTCAACTTATTTATTTATATACTGCCTTTATTATTTTTATAAATAACTCAAGGTGGCAAACATACCTAATATTCTTTCCTCCTCCTATTTTCTTCACAACAACCCTGTGAAGTGGGTTGGGGTGAGAGAGTGTTACTGACCCAAAGTAGCCAGCCAACTTTCATACCATGGCAGGACTAGAGCTCACAGTCTCCTGGTGTCTAGCCTGGGGCTTTAATCACTAGATCAGGTGTGTCAAAACTGGCCGCCCACGAGCCGGATGCATCACGACATGCCACGCCCACTTCAGGTCCACAAAGGCAAAAAATGTCACAATACATCACATGATACAATCAAATTTGACACCCGTGCACTAGATCAATCTAACTCTGGTATTAGGTCAGTGAAGCAATTGCAACTGAAATATAACGATTAAAAAAAAAGTTTAAACACTGTGCTGTGGTTTTCTTGCAATATAGAAGAAATATGCATACTGCCTTCTATTTTATGCCTCTTCTCTTCATTTTTTCCCATAGCTCAGCTTGCTGGTGAATGATGCTCCAGATCTGTCACCTGGCATAATCTGTGTATTTGGAAACCTCACTGAAGTAGAAGGCCAGGTTTTGGGGAACCAAATTATATGTACTTCTCCATCCTCTAAGGATGTCCCTGCCATACCTGTGGACCAGGGTGAGCTGGCTTCTCAGTGGTAAACTTGTGATACTTAGAGCAAGAATTAGAAGAATGGGTAATGATGGTCTGCATTATGGAATTGATTTAGATATATGACTTCTCCAATATTAGCCTCATGTCTTCTCTTAGGCACTCTAAAGTAGCACCCATTAACTTGTGGAACACCTGTCAAAAATGTTGCTATTACAATCAGATGTGCATGATTCTATTCTTATTGCTAATCTCAGTAAAAATCATTTTAGCCTTCCTATGGAGCTGACTTCTTGATCTTGTCTGTCTAATGGAGCTGAGATCAGTCTTACAAGACTGAGTATATGGTATCTCCTCCTTTTTCTAGCACAGTGAATTAGGAAGGTTTCTACCTAAGTTGCTTCTATATGTTATCTTGTATTCCTGGATTTAAAAAATGCTTCAGCCTCTTTTGCCTAGATAACAGATCCTGAATTTTTCCACCAGGGTCATCTACCTTCCATTTTTTATTTTAAAAAGTCTAAGAATACATACATTTTAGACATTAATAATTTTATTACAGCATATATTTTACACAATGTATACATTAAATATGGTATGTACTAGATGTGCCATGATTGCGTATTCTAGATATCCAGAGATATAGGTCATGCTGATTGGGAAATCTGAGAGTTCCCTAGTTCTCGTTGCTGCTCTGAAGAACTCTATATTATTATTTCATTAAATTTGTTATAGCCACCCACTTCAACATTCTGGATGGCCCACAACATATAATATTAACTAAAGCAATTAAGAGTGTAGCTAAAATAAAATAGCCTGGACTAAAAACAGTCTAAGGCAGACTAAAAATGAGAAAATAAACTATAATGTCACTGTTTAGTACATGAAGTATTACCTGAATTGGAAATGTGTATATTTAGAGTGGAGCCAAAAGTTCATGAAATGCAATAAGTACAAGTATCTCCCTGACATTTCTACTCAGAGCCAAGATAGCAGAACCAAGTAACAAATGAACAAACTATTGACACCAGCTTCAATATTACCTTTGTAGCTGTGTATTGCACAGAATTGAATTGAAATTGAATTTACTTTATTGAATAACTTTACCTTAGAATCTCTCTTTGTATCATTTCCACTGAAAGGTGATGTTACCAAACTCATCAACACAGTGCCCTGGAAGGCACAAATATTTTCCTACTGCCTTCTGAATGTTGCGTCTTTTATGTTATATTTTTAGCTACTTGCATAGAGAGAAATCATTTTGTGTAATGTAAACTGAAGTAGGGCATTGTATCCAAGTAGTGCTATATATCACATGATTACAACTCCATAAAGGAATGGTTGAAGCTACTAGGATCTGTAATAGTGCTGTCTAAGTGGATGTGGCAGTTTTTTGGTGGGCCTAATCCTGAATATCTAGTGCTCTGTTGACATTGTGGTTTCAGCAATAATGCTGTCTACAAGCAAGTATATGCTTTCCAGGTAACCTATAACAATAAAATATGAATAACCATGATGGACTTCTATTTTGTATTATGGCAATGTTTTGTCGTGTTATTTGCTCACTTTAATTTCCATTCTAAAACTGCTTTATATTAGGAATGCTTTTCATAAAGGAATTGATTATTACTTATTTGATTTTGGACAAAGTTTTAATCCCAAAAGCAGGCAAGAAAAATGTCATCTACATTTATGCCTTCTGCATAGTAGGTGTAATCTGCTTCTAGCAGATTGTACAAACCCCACATATTTAAAAGCCAGCCTTGAAGCCATCTGCTTGCTAAGCTTACCTATCATTAGGGTCTCCATCTTTTGTTATGTGAGCAGGGAAAAGAAGAAAGTAGTGTGGGTGTTACTCATGCTCTAAAGTATGACTCACTCCCCATGAGTGGGCGAAGGTTTCCATTTTTTGTGGGGGGGGAATTCTTTCTTCACTAATATAATTGCTATCAAGATTTCTCTCATACTATTACCAAATAGCTAATTGTTTGAAATTTATTTTTTACATTGTCTCATTTACAAGTAGCTCTTCCTGTGAGGACAGTATTTAATAAGCATCCATAGAAGTTCACAAAAGATCTGGGCTGTGTGTAGAGCAGAAATGCCAGCAAATGGCTCCAAGGAAGTGAATGCAATTCATGGCAGTCATGGCTATGTGCCATTTTACCTGGAGGGAAGATAACAGAGATCAGCAACTGGCATAAAATTTCAAGATGCAAATAATCTTTTTGTCTATTTCAAAAGATATGGTTATTGGCAGGTGTTGCCTACTACATTGTCAGCCAATTTCTATCAACCTTTCTTCACTAGCACTGGATGGCATTACAATAACTGCTTCTGATTTGAACAGAACTCGGCAGAGAAAGTGTAAATTTAAGTTTCAATTTAATTAATGGATGCATTCCTATCTCTTTCAGTCTTTTTCAGTTGTTCAAGGACTGCTTCAAAGACATCAGTCTTCTTGAGTTTTCCCCTAGTTCTTCAAAATTATTATTGCCTTTATTAGTCATTTTGCACTTTCAAATGAATAGATTCCTATAATTTTGTAGCAACCACTGTGAATATCTTTGTGTATTGTCATAGGCATATGGTGTTAACATTGAATATTCAAGATTTTACCTATCAATTTTCAAGCATCATTATAAACATTCTAGTAGTACCATACATTCCCATATTCTTGAGGCAACATGAAAAAAATCTGGGATATGGAAGTACGAGCAACTTCCTGGCTTATTTGCAGCACTAAACTGTACTTAACATAGCATAGTCACTTTGTGCATAACATACTATGCCCCAGCAAATAATGTTAAAATGGATTAACATTATTAACTATTTTTCAGAATGTTAAGGGAACAGCTGGGTTTCCCATACTAATGATCCACAAAATATCAAATTAATTTTAGGCAAAATTACAGTATTATATAAACCTCTGGAATAGGAAATGTAGTTTATATTTTCTAGTGTTTCTCACATAACCCTATGGCTTCAAATTTGGGGTTATCTTGATAGAATAATGGGAGTACTTGCCTTACAGATACCGAGAAAGCATAGGAAGATAATTGGCTTCTTGGTTTATAAGCTTCAGGATTTTTAGGGTTTAGAGTTCAAAAGACAGCATTATTTTCTGATTAGAAGATTTTAAGAAACCAGTGTTATAGCACTGGAAATGCGTAACCCAGTGCATTTCTTGAAACAGACATATTGCCACAGACTGTTCCAGTAAAATAGATTGGCCTAATGTAGAGGTACATTAATCTGATCCTGCCTTATTTGAAAATAAATGCAACTATCCCATCAAGGACTGGGAAATAATACTTTTAAAAGATCAGTAAATGAAGATGAAGAAATAGGACTTAAAAATAATTTAAAAATGCATAACACATCTGTAAAATGCCCACATTATTCTTGTGCTATGTTGTTTCAATAATTGCTTTGTTTGTTTGTTTTTTCCCAGACTGGTTTGGCATAGAGCTTCTGTTGAAATCCAGAGAGACTGGCAAGATGTTTGTCAGCACAGAGTTCAAATTTTACAACTGCAGTGCCCACCAGCTGTAAGATATCGTTTAATGTTTCTGTCATTAAATGCTTTACAATTACATAGAGATTTTTGCCTATGTTTTTGCAGCAAGAACTGCAAAATTACTTTGTATAAAAAGGTTTATAACCAAGCTCAGAACCTACTAGCTAGGATTCACTAGTATTTACATAAAGAAGAATGGTTAGTTACCTAGTTTGTTAGGATAATTGGTTTTTATGTATCACTTGGATATCTAATACAGTTATTAGAAAAATGGTTAGATTCCAAAGACACTCTTCTATGATATAATCACAGTATTCTTCTTCTTCTTGTGCCATATCCGTTATCGGACGTTGGCGATCATGTTGGCGATCCTGTTTTTATCAGCAGCCGCACGAAAAAGTGCTGCTGAGTTTTGTCCAAATCAGTCCCTTAGATTTTGAAGCCACGATGTTCTTCTTCTGCCTGGACCTTGTTTGCCTTCAATCTTTCCCTGGAGGATTAAATGGAATATGCCGTATTTTTCTGGGTGTCACATCACATGTCTGAAATATTCTAATTTTCATTTTTTAATTATTTTGATGATTTCCCTTGGCTTTCCCAGGCGGCTTATCACCTCCTCATTTCTGATCTTGTCAACTCAGCTTATACACCACAGTATTATGATGTTAAAATAACATTTAAGCTTCTTCAAAGTTGTTCTGCATGATTGCTATAAATAGATAAAATAAGTATAAATTAATAGATTATGTTTTGTTTTAAACTGCATTGTCACTTCAGTGTCAATTACTGGTATTTCACTAAAAATCAGTTACTGAAAGACTAAACTTTAAAAGTAAAAATTCACAGGTAATTAATCTTTTATGCTGAGGTAATGAGAAAAAAAAAACCTTTCCTAACACTAGGAACTCTACTGAACAAGGGCCACTTTAAGTGTAACAAGGTATTCCAAGGTATTCCAACTCATAATAGAAAATGTTATTCAGTGCACCATATAATAAAATTATATGCTCAGTGTCAGTATCTAAAAGCAACACTTGCATGCTAAGATCTTAAAAACTCATTTTGATCTGGGAAATGGAAAATAAAGAGCATGTGTCATTCAAATTCCTGTCAAGAGAACAAGAAAGAGTGAGAAATGTGTCAAATAAGTGAGTAATTAAATACATTCATGCTGCTTAATATTCCTAACCACTAGATTTGCATGTCTATGATTAGAATAAGTTTTTAAGGTCATTTCAGAAAAAGCAAAAGCAGACTGCAGTTGAGGATTAAAATTGGACAAACAGGGTATGTGTCTTGCAAATGAGAGATGGGGATGCTCATTGAACTTTGTAACTTGAAAATGAAGAATTATCTGTTTGAGATACTAGAATCCCTTAGAAAACTCAGACTAATTAGCCGGAAGACCAGGAAGGGGGGGGGAATCAAAATCTTGCAGCTGTCATGTGGAGAAAACTGGTCCCTGTAATTAATCTAGTAAACATTCCCTGATTTGGTAAGAATTAGTTGTGTTTAAAAGCTAAACAAGTATATATTAAGCCAATGATATTAATCCATTACATATTTGGACATGATTTATTTTGCATACATGCAATGGAGAAGAGTCTTGAACATTTACAATTAAGGTGAACTCATCACTTCTCACTGGTCCTCTTTTTTACGGGGCTGGGGTTGTGTGTTTGGAGTAATATTCCATTGGAAACTGCCCATGAATTTTAAGGGTGTTACCATATGCCCCCCCCCAATCTAGTGTTTTCATCAAAATACTACTTTTCTGATCCCCTGATCAGAAAGCAGAGGTCTGATTATTCATTCCATTTTCAATACACTTTTCATCCTTAAATGTTTCCGTTATATGAAACACACCCATTAAAATTTGATATACAATATTGATGGAATAGAATTAATTCACTTGGTCCTATCCAAGCACAAGGGCAAGAAGTTTAGGAAGGTCATCTGTATAGGTTAAGTACCTTGAGATTTCATCTGGCTCAGTTCATAAACACTTTAGACTAAAGAGGGAAAAAATCAGCAACATTTGCCTTTTTATTTGCACAGGACTTTTAAGATTCCAAAGGATATGCTCCAGATTGGAAATAGATTTAACTGAAATATCAGACCTTCACTGAAATATTGTTTGTATTAATCGGGTGTTATTATATCTATACCACAGAGCCTAAACTTTAAAGCAGAGGTCCCCAATCTTTTGGGCACTATGGACCAGTTCCGTGGAGAGAGGTTTTTCCACAGACTGGAGGGTACGTGGTTTTGTGTGCTGCCTGCATCTCACGGATGGGGCTTTGCTTGTTTGTGCAGACTGATTACTGGCATGCCATGGCCTGGTACTGGGGGTTAGGGACCCCTGCTTTAGAGAATATCTTTGGCAACCTAATAAATTTTATTGATCTGAATTGGGAAATTCTCTTAGCTGTTGAGATTCTAAGATACAATATATTGAAACAAAAAAATCTTTGCAATAAACTCCAAAATCCAGAAACCTGTGTTATGTGAAGTTAATGGCTTTGGTTTAGAGGCACTTGTCTTAGGCAAAATGCACTGAAAATATGGTAATTCTTCTTATCTGTTCTAAGAGATTATGACAAAGTCATTTTTTTCACCCAAGTATTTATTTTAAAGACACCTATGTCTGGTACATGGAAACTGAAAACTTTTTTCAAATGAAATATTTGTTCTGTTTAAGCAAATATATAAAATTTTGTTGACCTACTGTTATTTATCAGGCATTAGCAATAATAAACATATTTGCCTATGTTCCTTTCTTGACAGATGCCTGTCTTGTGTCAACAGTGCCTTTCACTGTCACTGGTGTAAATATCGTAACCTGTGCACTCATGATCCAACAACATGCTCTTTTCAGGAAGGACGGATCAATGTTTCTGAGGTATAAACACTGGATTTTGGAACTAGACAACACAGTTTTGGTGCAAATCTTAAATGTTTGCCTTGTGATTCAACTGAACTCTCTTTTCCCATTGCCACGCAACATTGTAACAAAAGAGGGTGAAAGAGAGAGAGAGAGAGAGAGAGAGAGAGAGAGAGAGAGATTCAGAAGATCTAAATCTTGGTTGGTGGTCTCATTTCTACACAAGGTATGTTGAAATATGAAGATGAATATGAATATATATTGAGATTGCAGATCTCCATAAATTCATAGTACAGTTCAAGCCATATCTGGATCTATATTTGGAAGAAGATCATGAAAAACAATAATGACTTTCTGTTGGTTGTAAATAACATATATTTGATATGATAATAATTCCCATCATTTATTTTAGGAAAGATCAGTTTTTCTACCTTTAGGCAGTAACACAGCATCAGTTTATAAAGACAGACATCTCAGAGAAATTATTCTGGCAGCAGTCTGCCACTGCAGTACTATGAGATACATGTTTTGAAAGCATGTTTTAACTGAGAGTCTCAGTAATAGAACTACAAAAAAACCCAGGAATTTATATTATTAGGTTCAGAATGGTTGGGAAAAGGCTATGCGCTGAAGTACATTTCACCCTCATTTACAGTGATTTGGTCATATTCTCTGTTTTATTTTTTGGGTTTTGATGTGGTTGGAACTAATTGAAGCTTCTCAATATTATAAACATATTTCATGATGCTGATATGAATTCTGATTAAGAATATCTGATATTGAGAGGGAATCTGGGAAATTCAATCAACAATGACTGAAGAAAAGGGTGTTTATGATAGAATAGAATAGAGCTGGAAAGGACTGGAGGTCTTCTAGTACAGCCCCCTGCTCAAGCAGGAGAATCTATACATCTCAGACAAGTGGCTATCTCTAGCCTCTTCTTAAAAATCTCCAGTGATGGTGCGCCCACGATTTCTGGAGGCAAGCTGTTCCACTGGTTAATTATACTCACTGTCAAGAAATTTCTCCTTAATTCCAGGTTGCTTTTCTCTTTGATCAGTTTCCAACCATTATTTCTTGTCCTTCCCTCTGGTGCTTTGGTGAACAACCTGGCCCCCTCTGCATTGTGGCAGCCCTTCAGATACTGGGACACTGCTATCATGTCTCCCCTATTTCTTCTTTTCTTTAGACTAGCCAAATCCAAGTCCTGCAGCCGTTCTTCATATGTTTTAGTCTCCAGGCCTTTGATCATCTTAGTTGCTCTTGTTTGAATTTTTTCCAAACTCTCAACATCTTTTTAGTGACCAACATTGGCTGCTGTCACATGTTCCGACTAATGAAGCACTTCAAAGAACTTTCAGGAATGTTTCCTAAAATCTTTATTTGCAAGAGCTACAGTTTGCCGGTCACCATGATAGACTAATTGATGCCAGAATCTGAACTTCCTGTCGCTGGCATCAAGCTTTCCTTGCTCAACCCCTCCCTTCTCATGCAGTCACAGGTCACATTATCCAATTAGTGAGAAGGTCAAACATTTACTTCCTCTTTCTTTCCCGGGCTTTTTCCCCTGCCCAGTCTAAGCTAAGTATTAACCCAATAAATGCCAGACAGTTTTGCATATTGTCAAAGCAAGAATATACAGTATTTGCAGCATTGACATCCGGCCCCCCTTACAAGAAGGACAGAACCTGTAAAGTAAACAAAAGCATACGTTAAGGGTTATCTTTCGGTTTGTTGGGGTGTTTCACATGAAACCTTTTGATCAATCTGTCAGCGTTCACTTCACTAGATTTCACCCAGGTGGCTTCAGACAATGGGTATCCCTTCCATTGTACCAAGTACTGTAATTTCCCCTACTTTCAGGTAGGTCCACTATAAGGTCCATAGCTATTTCTTCCCAAGGTTGAGAAGGGTCTGCCACGGGTTGCAGTAGCCCAGGAGTTTTTCCCGGGATTCTTTTCGTTGTGGCACATACAGTACAACTTTTTACAAAGTTTTCCACATCCTTTTTCAGCCCCGGCCACCAAAATTGCCGGCGGGTGAGGTGTAGGGTTTTCAAATATCCAAAGTGTCCAGCCTGCTTTACATTGTGGCTGTGTTTGAGAGCATTTAGACGGAGCGCTTCTGGCAAATATAACTTCCCCCCTTTGTAAGCCAAGCCGTCCCTGCATGTTAGGGACGCTTGATTATCTTTGAACCATTGGTCAGTGAGGAGCTCTCGTTTTATTTTCTTCACTCCAGGGTCATCCGGATTGGGGACCCTGCGAGGTGTAGGTTGAGTGACAGTTTGTGGATTGGGAATAATTGCCTCGTTAACCTGCTCTCGTTCACTTTTGTACTGGGGTAACCGGGATAGCGCATCAGCTAGAAAGTTCTTCCCTCCTGGTATGTACTTTAGAGTGAAGTTGAAGCGGTTAAAGTACTGTGCCCACCATACTTGCTTTGGTGACAATTTGCGAGGAGTTTTCAGTGCCTCTAGGTTCTTGTGATCAGTCCATACCTCAAATGGCATCTTGCTCCCTTCTAGATAGTGTCGCCAGTTCAATAGCGCCCACCTAATTGCGAAGGCCTCTTTCTCCCAGATTGCCCATCTTTGCTCGCTCTCAGTGAATTTCTTAGAGGTGTAGGCACAGGGTTGCAGGATCCCATTTTTGTTCTTTTGAAGTAACACTGCTCCAACCGCCACATCGCTGGCATCGGCTTGAATCACAAAGGGTTCCTCTGGGCAGGGGTGCTTTAGAACCGGTTCAACGGCAAATAGTCTCTTTAGATTCTCAAAAGCTGTTTGACAGCTCATTGTCCATGCTAGTGGTTGGCCCGGTCGTGGCTTCCCTCCTCCTTTGCCTGTTTTGAGTAGTTCTGTAAGAGGAAGGGCAATCTCGGCAAAAGAAGGGATGAATTGACGATAAAAGTTGGCAAAACCCAGAAAGCTTTGGAGCTGTTTGCGAGTCCTTGGGGGTTGCCATTCGATTATAGTTTTTACCTTGGCCGGATCCATTTCAATACCCTCATTGGAAATTCGGTAGCCAAGATAGTCTAATTGAGTTTGGTGAAATTCACATTTTGACAATTTGACATAAAGCTTGGCATTCAATAGTTTCTTTAACACTTCTCTCATTAGCTTTATGTGATCAGTCATATTTGTGCTGTATATCAGGATATCATCAAGATACACCAAAACCCCTTTGTACAAGTGATCATGTAGAACCTCATTGATCAACTGCATAAATACAGCTGGGGCCCCCTGTAGTCCAAATGGCATGACTTTGAACTGATAGCTCCCCATAGGACAGTTGAAGGCAGTTTTCCACTCATCTCCCTCTTTTATTCTCACCCGGTAGTATGCCTCTCTTAGGTCTAACTTAGTGAAGACACTCCCCTTAGCCAGGTGGGTCAATAAATCCTTTAGGAGGGGGAGGGGGTATTTATTTTCCACACTTACAGCATTGAGTCCCTTGTAGTCTACGCAGAGACGAAGAGACCCATCTTTTTTCTCTTTGAACAACACAGGGGCTCCCACGGAAGATTTGGCCCGTTCAATAAACCCCCTCGCTAGGTTCTTGTTCACATATCGCTGCATCTCCTCCATTTCGAGGGGGGACATAGCATACATCCTCGGACGTGGGAGTTTGGCTCCGGGCACCAGTTCGATGGAGCAGTCATTGGGTCTGTGAGGGGGTAGGGCATCACATTCTTTTTCACTGAACACCTCCGCCAGGTCCAAGTATTCTTTGGGGATGACTGGTTCACCTGGGGTCAGTGAGGCAGCCATGTGCGCTTGCTCATTGGGTGGCCTAAGATGCCCGGTAACATCTGTTGAATCAATGGGGGGATCAGGCCCTATAGGTAGTCTCACAATTCTCATTCCTTTCTCCCACCAGATAAATGGCTTCCATTTGTCCAACCAGGCTAGTCCTAGGATCACTGCCTCGGTCATCTTTGGAGCCACCAGGAAACGAATAAACTCCCAGTGTGCACCTATTTCTAGGCGTAAAGGCTCAGTTAATTGTGTAATAAGAGTCCCTCCCATCAGGGAGCCATCGGCTTGCTCAAATCTCATCGGTTTGGAAAGCTGTTTTGCCCTTATGCCCATTTTCATGGCAAACGCCAGACTAATAATGCAGCGGGTACATCCCGAATCAATTAGTACGTTTAAGTCTATTTGTGCTCCAGACGTAGGGATTACAAGTTTGGCGGGCAGTGAAAAAGGCAGGATTTGTTGACTCACCATTGGGTCGTTTTCTCCTTCATCGTCGCTATCAAAGAAGGGAAGAGCAGGGGCAGATCCACCTGGAGTCTTGGCATCCTCCTGTGTGTGGGGTGTAACCTGGGCAACTGGTTCTTGCGTGAGTCGATTGGATTTTTCTCTTGTTAGCCGCTGAGCAGGTTTCTTTTGCATCGCCGGTCCTGGCTTGCTCTGCAGTCGAGGGTAGGGGACTGGACAGGTGGCTGCTCGGTGTCCTCCTTGTCCACACCTGAAACACTCGAAGGAAGGGCGTGCAGGTGGCCTGGTTCTCTCAGCCCTCGCAGTAGTTGAAGGCTTTCGTGGGGGTGATTGCTGTTCAGGTAGCTCTGGTTGCTGTTCGGGTTCCTGTGGGGGAGGCTTTTTATAGCGAGAGAGCTTAACATCCAGCTTCACGGCCGTCTGGTACCACTCCTGCAGCCGATCAGGTACTTCTCGATAGATGCAAGCCTGGGAGAGGTGATCATCTAATCCCTCTATAAAGTGATGGATGAGGGACTGCTCAGGCCACCCTTCTATTCGACCTGCCATCTTGCGGAACTCTCGCACGTACTCCAGGGCAGGCCTCCCTGCTTGTTTTATTTTGTGAATTTGTCCTGCTGCTTTGAGGCCGATGGATGGGTCTTCAAATCGTTCTCTCAGTCCTAAGAGAAAGAGATGGGGATCCTCCAATTTGAGGGCTTGCTCACTATATAGATTGTTCAGCCATTCAGATGCTTCTCCCTCCAGGTTGGCCGCAATGACGTCAACCATGGCCCCTGGTTCCGGATAGAGA